TTTCGACTTCTCTGTCGCGAGAATGTCTCGGAGTGGTAACGTCATCTGGGGGTACACTTCATTAATACACGCCGTTACAACAGAGAAAGGGAACAAACCCGCGTGCGGGACGTCAATGGCCCAGAAGATTTGAAACAGAAGTAGTTTGTGGAAATATAAAGTCGACCAAAAACAGGAAGGAGACGAAAAATGTAACCAGGGAAATCTTGGGGGCAATGAGATTATAATTGAGAGAAAGTTGAATGCAGCGTACAGCCAAGTAACATCTCCTTTTCGTCGTAGGCGAACGATGTCCGGAACTTGTCCACCACGTCTCCGTCAATAGCCATTTCCGGAGTATCCAACACGCTAAATGCCATGTCGCCCATGCTGCTTAATTTGCTTCCAGAGACGCTGCTAGTGGAGGAGTAAACCTCTTTGACGGGAGCCGGAGGAGTGGTCGGAAGAGCTGATGATACTGATGAGGTGAAGAATCGAGTTGTACGGGCACCCTTGAGCCAGCTTGGGACTCCAACGTTCCACGAGCTGCCACTCGACGTGTTGCTCTCTCTACGGGTCAAGGAAGTTTGGTCAGGGACAAGGGAAGGCGTCAAAGAAGTAGAAGGTGGGTACGTGTGATGGTATTCCTGGTTTGCAGGTTTCGGGGTTAGGTTCAAATCTTCGTCCTCTTCAGAAGTATGCGAATCTAGCTGTTTCAATGGCGAACCGGTGGTTGTGACAGGTACAAAAGAAGCGGATGATCGCTTGGAGATATGCGTGAACTCCTCCATTACGTCTGGCGCAGACTCAGAAGCCGGCATAATTTGAGGGCGTGAATCGCCAAATGGTCGCAGTAGCGAGGCAATTCGGAAGCCCGATCCGCTGGCTTTGTCTCTGCTGACCTCTGCCGCTGTTGGCACGCTAACCGTTCGTTCTGGGTAGGAGTTTAATGGAGCCCGAGTTACAGTTGTATCCAAAACTGTCTTGGGGCTACCGTCGTCGTATTCGGTAGCGGCTCGATGAGTTCGTACCGCCTCGCGGATTTGATCCAGTGCAGAGGGCAAGTCATGAAAATATGCGAAGAAGTACGAATCCACGGACAGGAGACCGGATGCCTCTTTATCTAAAACTTTGATTTCGATAGTTTCGCTGAAATCCATGGCAGATGATTTGTCGACATCAAGAATGGCCGAGTATGGTATGGCGATCTGATTGAAATCAGATTCATGTCCCATGGGGGCATTGCAAATCATACCTTGACGCTATCACCCATGTTCTGTGCTTTGAATATAACCTTGCGAATCGCTTTCACCCACTCTTCCCTGCTGGGCACGGAATCTGCGTACAGCAGAACCGTCTTCTGGTTGGTCCGTACGCGAAACTCTTTTTCTCCTACAGGTTCACACGATATTGCGTAGCGCAGATCGACTATTCCGTGTGGGAAGTAGGGGTCCTATCGGGACATTCAGAAAGCGCATTTCTAGTAACCATCAAGGACTGACTGAAGAGGACTGATACCAACTGAGGGCATCATTCTTCAACACGAACCAATGTTTTATCCAACGCTTGGTTCGTGTTGCTTTCTTGCTCAGCGAGCCCGACTTGAGCACTTGGTCCTAAGCATCACGTCAATACATAGGACATCGCTCACATGTGAAATGGTTACCTCTTTTGAGGGCATATGGGCAAAGAAGCACAGATACGTGTTAGTAAGGTACATGTAACCTTGCAAGACTGAAAATTCTGTTAACCTCGAAATGAAAACACTTTGAAGGACTCACGTATGGAGCGAAGAAGCCAACAGGGCATCTCTAGATCAGGAATTAGCTGAATCAATGACAGTCGATGGAATTCGTACCTGCCCGGACTTCTTCAATACCGTCCAATTCATAGATTTGACGGAGCTTCTCGGCCAACATGGCGCGTCTTTGCAGACGAACGGTGGCCATACTCCCAGTCCGTGAGAACGTTGCTTTCCCCAAAGCACCGACTCTTGAAGAAGCCTTGGAAGCAAGCGGGGTCTTGGGATCGGAGGCTCTGGGGGTTGTTACCTCGAAGTCATCCGCAGAGTCATCAGAGCCTTCGTCATCGGACAGCGAACTAGATACGGGCTCGTCGTCGTTAAGTTCGGCGTACTCTGGAATGCCGAGGCGTCGTTGTGAGCCGGGCCCGACGCTGAGCTTTCGTGACCGAGCGAGTGGACGATAGATAGTGTGGATAGAGGATGCGAGATGCGGTGCTAAATGGCAATGATTATTTTGTGGATAAAGAACAAAGCTGTAGATCTTACATGGCCGCGTTTTGTCCTCCTCCTCGCTTTCAGAGTCGGTGACGGGGGTGAGGCCGCTGTGATTCATGATCTCGTCATCATTGTCAGGATCCTTCGTCCAAGGGAGTGCTTGGAGCGCTTGAATCAAGGTTTGTGTGCCTGCGCGCATCTGCGGAAGTGAGAACATGTTGTGTCGGCCAACGAAGTGTAACATACGGATCCATCGCCACGGAATGAGCTAAGCAGAGGTCTAGCGGGCGGCGGCGAGGGCGGGGTAATGAAAGGGGAATCGTCTGTGGGTTTCATTGGGGACGTTGGACGAGAGGGAGAAGGTGTACTGGCAGTAGAAAGCATGTCTACACGGACAGTCAATTACGTCCATCTCGACGAGAGCCAAGTACGTACCATCCACGCGGTCCGCCGAGGGTTCTCTGGCCTTTCCTTTCCTGCTGAGACTGAACAGACGCCGATGACCTGGTGGTGAACCAGGAGACGATCTGCCGCTAATACTTCTCCCCAGTTTGTCTACAGTCTTCTCTACAGCAGAAGAGAGGCGCTTGACGCGACGGCTGCTAGGTGATGTTTGGGTGTCCTTGAGAGGAGACTCGACGAATCCCAAGGCCTCAGGCGATGTGCTCAGAGGCGGCGCGGCTTGCGGGTCGTGGAAAATAGCTTGGAGCGGTGCCATCCCTCAAGAATGTCCTAACCGGAGTCTGCTTCAGCTTCGGAGCTGCTGGGGACCGGGGTGCGGCATCTGCCGAGCCCGTGCTTCAGTGCGCTCAACACGTTTCTTTCCAAGTTGCAAGTGCGTTCACTCTGCCTCTTCCCCTTCTGCGTCTCCATCCCTCTCGTCTACGACTTTTGACGTCCATCCAACTATTTTAATGAGACTACGAGGAGAGGTGTGTCAGGGTGCTGGTACGCTATTATCACTGGCCACCTTGATTCTGTTGATATTTACCCATGTGCGCGTCTTTTCTTGATTCCACACGTCCCCCATCTAATCTGCAGCTAGGTCGGGCAAATAAACACGAGTTCTGTCCCTCGTGGTATATACATGGTACACTCGATTGCGATCTCGGAAGCAAACGCCCTCACAATTTGTGTAGGCCAAGTTGAATGTTTCGCAATATGGGTGTGTTGCCTCTATTTCTGTCATGCCGTTCACTGCTAAATCTAGTCAGACAAGCACTCCAGACTGCGCTCCTCGATCCTATTTTTGGCCTTTACACGACGAATTTCTCAGAACCTTTACTACAATCCCAAGGCCTGCGCCAGTATTACGAATTTGGACTTTATGCTCACTGCGGTTACAATGAATCGAGTGTGGGTCTCTGCTCGAATCACTCCGCCGCTTACCAGTATCGCCCATATGCCATTATGACCGGAGATATGAGGTGGGTTTCCTCCCCACTACGTACCTCCCTCGGCTTACTCGTTTCAGAGCGAATTACTCTACCATCACGCAAGCGCTTGTTGAAGGAACTTCGTTCAGCGATTCCACCGATCTCGGTAAATCAACCAACGGCGCTTATTACACTATTCTACTTGGCACGATCTTTTCGTTCTTGGCTTTAGTAACGTGAATTCTTCAAGTCTGTTTTTCTTCGTCGTCGTCTCATGAATGGGCAGGGGCGTAACGAAGCACAACGTCTTCTTTGTCATTTCCACTACATTCGCATGCCTCACTAGCATATTCGTATTGTGTGGCGCTGCAATTTGGACGGTCATGATAAACAAGTCTAGTGATATCAATGACGTGATGGTGCGTCTTTTCGATAGTCTCGCATCTTCCCTTTACCTTTCTCCTTAGGTTGGAGATACTACTCCAGTGGACATCGGAATAGATGTTTCTATAGGCTCAGGACTTTATTTACTATGGGCGGCTTTTGCCTGCTCTTTTGCTTCCCTCATACCTTATTTCATCAGGTTAGTCCCTAGCCATCTCATTCTTCTTAAATATCTGATCACTTGTCTAGTTGCTGCACGTACCGAGGTTGACGTTGATCGCCTTACCTTATGAGAACAACCTTATATATATTATTTAGCGTATTTACGAACCACAACGAAACAGCTCAAAATTGCGAATCAGGTACTTCGATCAGCCGGGCTCATCGAGTCCAGTACACAGCATTCGCCGCGCCTAAGACAGATGCCCGCTGCGCAATATCCCAAGTCTAAGGCAACGCTGATATTAGCAGTTGTGATACCGGCACGTAATATAGCTCATTCGATGGCGGCGGGCGCGCCGCCGCTCATAGAAGCTGAAAGTTCAAGTAAAACCGTTAAGGTTTCAAACTTTCCAACGTGGTAGGGTGGCGCTTATTAACTTCGGGAGGTCGGCTTTAATATTTCAATACTGGCACGCGTTGTATCAGACAGTTGGGCTAGGTTTTGATAGACCTTGGGTTTACTGCGATAACGGTATTGATATGGTATTGAAACTCAAGGGCTGGAGGGTAGGTTTTGATACCGGCACATGACTACTGCACATGCCGGTGCGCTAGCGCTCAGAGGGCCGGGGGGTAGCGGGACTAAGGCGGGATGCGGGCGGCACGGCGCTACGCCACATCACGTGTCTAAAACACGTATCGAAATCGTTACTAATAGTTTCAAAACCTGAGCTTTCTGGGAGGGTCAGGACGTAGTATGGATACCGCTTCTAACATCATGATCCCCGGGAGGTTTCCTGCGCCAGGCGCCTGGCGCCACCTAGTTAGGTCCCACCTGAGGTGGCACACAAAAATGACATAGCCCACCGCGAGGGTCGAACTCGCAGCCTTCAGATCGCCTAGCCTTAAGAGTCTGACGCTCTATCCGATTGAGCTAGGCGGGCTGTTAGTCTCAGCTTACCCAGATTGATATATAGCTGCAAAGCACTATGTGGAAACTGTGTGATCGAGATCAGCCCCCTTGGAACCAACGGTTTCAATTCAATTCAATGCCCGCTCGGCCCTAGTCCGCACGGCATATTTTGTCCGTATAAAAGGCGCCCAACCTTCTTGACGTAGTTTCTCTTGGTGGCAGCGGGTGCACATTCCCTTTCTACTTCATCGTTCTAGTCTTCTCTTCCAACTATTTCATTGCAATACCCCCCTTTGTAATTCGCAACATGCGCGGAATCAGCGCTGCGGCTGCGCTTCTCTTTTCGGCTTCCTCTCTAGTTTCTAGTGTGGGCGCCATCGCCAAAGTCACTCGCTCTGGAAAATACCTTGTCACCGACGGCGGCGAAAGATTCTATATCAAGGGAGTCGCCTATCAGGAGCAAGGTCGGTTTCTTGCATGTTGCCAATTGCTTGGGCGCTCATATTTCTGCAGGGGCTGTGGTCGAGAGTAGTGACAACGCCTTTGGGGAACCGTCCAGTTTCTTTGATCCCTTGTCAAATAGCGATGCTTGCTCTCGCGACTTGCCGTTCCTTCAAGACCTTGGTGTCAACACTCTACGAGTTTATAGCGTGAATCTAGTCTAGATCACGATGGTTGCATGAAAACATTCAGCGATGCAGGAATCTACACTATGTGGGTTGACCACTCTATTATTGATCTATGTACTTGACATTTCTTAGCCTTGATCTCGCTCTTCCTCTCAATGGCTCTATCGACCGGACAACACCATCGTGGTCTACCAACGTCATGGATCAATATCTGCGTACCATCGACACATTCTCCAAGTACGACAACGTTTTGGCCGTCAATGTCGGAAATGAGGTCGTTACTTCTGACTCCCTTCCTGCTGCTCCTTTCATCAAGGCCGCCGCACGCGACATTAAGGCTTACCTGTCAGTTCACATGTCCCTTGTGCTATGTTCGGCCTTGACGCCTTTCCCAGCGCTTCCAAGAATTCTGACGTGCTAGTCGGCTATGCAGCCATTGATGGCGCCACGGACTTCCGCCTTACCCTTGCCGAGTTCTTCTCTTGTGATTCAGACGCTGTGTCAATCGATATTTATGGCTTGAATGAGTAGTAAGCCAGCGTCTGCTCTGTCGTTCCTTTCCCACACTGATCATTTGCCAGTGCTTGGTGCGGTGACTCCACTTATGAAGCTTCGTACGCAGGCATTGATGAGGACTATTCCGACTACAATGTTGTTGCCTATTTTTCGGAGTTTGGATGTATCACTTCTCCGCCGCGCCTGTGGACTGAGGTTGGCGCCCTTTTCAGCACCCCAATGACCAACCATTGGTCGGGTGGTATCGCATTTTCGTACTTCCCCGCTGAGTCAGTACAAGGCCAATTTGGCATGGTGACAGTGTCAGGTATCATCCTTCTTTGTATTCTTACAACAATCTCTCACGATTGATTCAGGAAACGATGTAACCACTAGCGATGACTTTGATCGCCTGAAGGAACAATATGGCCAGGTCTCTCCTCCGAATTCCCCGACGTCGGGCTCGGATACCTACCCATCGTGTCCCACGACCTTAAACGCTTCTACAACTCTTCCAGGGACACCAGATGATGCATCTTGCGACTGCGTGTTCAAAGCTCTTCCTTGCCAATTCACACCCGCCACCAACAACTACACGGTGATTGTGGGTGAACTCCTCAACACTGCCTGCAGCTTGCTAGGCTCCTCTGGCGGAAGCTGTGCCGACATTGGCTCTGATGGTGCCACCGGAACCTATGGACGTCTCTCAGGATGCGACCCAAGTAAGTGTTCCGATGTCTTCGACCATTTTGGTTTACATTCCCTCTCAGCCATCAAGTTGTCCTATGCTATGAGCGAGTACTACGGTTTGAACAACAAGGATGAACAAGCGTGCTCGTTTGCAGGGAATGGCACTGTCAATAGCGCTTCGTCTGCGGAAGCAAGCGCAGTAGCGTCGTCCTGTGTGCCCAGCCCTTCGGCAACCTTCACTCCCTCTCCTCCGCCGGATTTGGTTAGTGGCGGCGGTTCGGGATCTTCCTCTGGAGGCGGCTCTTCAGGTTCTGGTGGTTCCTCCGGTTCAGCAGGGTCGAACGATAGTGATGGAGCTGTTGCTCTTGTTGGCGACTCTAGGGCTATCGTTGGCATGTTAGCAATGATGGTGATCACTGCCGCAAGCGGGTTGTATACTGTACTTTAAAAGTGTTGGGAGCTGTTAGCGACAGTTATTTATGCAGCACAGGACTCTATACCATTACTATTACCTAGGACGTTATACATACGCTTTGAGTGCACGTAATTTTGTTTTCGCCTTCATTCCATATCACCCTCATTTGGACTTCGTGGGAAACGCAGATTATGTAAATGCTGCATTGGAAGTTTTACAAACTCCGCTGCACGTCTTTTCTTCCGTGCCACCATGTCATCTCCTATTCCTTTGGACGAGGCTCAGGCGAATTGGCGCGTCGACGACTCATTGGCTCTCCATACAGCCGATGAGTCCAACGGTCTCAATGATCACGCTGGGCCAGGTACTGATTTGGACTACAAACGCGGTGGTTCGACAGAAGGTCCTCCCCCTTCTTCTGGCATGAAAGGCGACGGCGTCTTCCGCGAAAAGCAAGTCAAGGTGCTTAGGTCTTTTCTGTCTATTGCTTGTCAGTGCGCCCAGAGTCAAAGACGGTCGAGCAGGACAAGAAGCCCCTGGTGGTTCGGATATCGCAGCTTGACGTCTTCCTGCTGATGCCCTCCCTCGTCTTTGACTTGACTCTTATTCCAGTCTCTGGACTTTCTCCATGAGGCTACCTACTCGCACTTTTTATCCAATCTGTCTCTGAGCTGGACGTTCACCTCTTGCTGTCTAGCCAAACAAAGTCTATATCGGTGGTCTTCCCGAAAATACGCGTCAAGAGGATCTACAGAATTGCTTTGGAAAAATAGGCAATATTGTGAATATCGAACTCAAGTATGTACCTACCAAGTCATCATTCGTTTACATCGGCCTAACGTGCCGTGTAGGATCGGGTATGGGTTCGTGGTGCGCTCCTTCCTCGTGTTCCAGGTATTTCCTGATATCTCTCCAGGAATTCGATAGCAGGGAAGCCGCAGAAGAGAGTGTTGCGAAGTATAATGAAGGCTATTTTATGGGTAACAAAATTCGGGTTGAGATGTCACATGGCGGCGGCAGGACAGCAAAATACTCGAGCGAGCCTGGAGCTTGCTTCAGGTGTGGCCAAATGGGCCATTGGGCGAGGTATGTCTGGCTATAATTCTCACGAGCGATTTTCCTTGTAACTTTCAAGTTCCAGGGAATGTCCGATAGCGGGACCGTAAGCAACGTCTTCTATCCTCTCTCTGCTTTTCAGTTGTTGATTCATTGTTTAGGCCTCCCCCACGACGCGAGCCGCCATTGATTGACCGTATTCAACGTGATCATCCTCCCGCGTCTAGAGATGTTCGCTATGACTATGCGCCTATGGGACGTGATTATCGACGACCTCCATCTCCTGCTAGGGACTTCCGAGACTATGGGCCTCCTCCTAGCCGTTATGATGATTACAGACGCCCACCTCCAATGGCAGAGAGAGACAGATATCCTCCGCCTGACAGAGCACGCTATGATTATCGATCAGGTCCTATACCTCCAGCGTATCCTCCTTATGAGCGCTATGACCGGAAAGCGGAGCGTTATCCCCCTTACGGACCTCCCTCTGCGGGTCGACCTCGCACTCCTCCTCGCTATCGTGAGGATTATGACAGACCCGTAGTCCGGTGCGTCATTCATTCAGCGGTTTATCCTATTCGTTACTGAGGTCTTGTTCAGAGACTATCCCGATTACCGTGGTCGTCCTGTAACACCCCCTCGCTATCCCGAATATCCCAGGGGCGCAAGCCCTGACGCCCGATTTAGGTAGTTGGCATTTTCCCAAAGTCACTGCCCTTTTGTTGATGTATCATACGCATGCAGGCGTCGTTCTGAAAGTCCTACTGGTCGCTCTGCTGCTGCTTATGAGTATGCTCCGCCTGAATCGAACTATCCAGCGACCCCTCCTGGGCCTCCACCACCATCTCGCCGCGACTACCCTCCTCGGGGTTATGCAGATAGGAGATGAATTCAGACGGCGGCTTGACTGTTCTAGTCTATGTCTCAGACTCGTTAACCTTGCTGGCTTTTGCCTCGACGACTTGTGACAATCGGCCAGCGTTAAAACTTATCTACTATCTTGCTTTCTCTCGTCTCGGAATGTGTTCTTTGCATTTTCGATGACCATTTGACGTCGTTCATTCTCAGTAGCCGTATTACATGCTAGAGTGATTTGTTCTACGCGTTCTATGCACATACATGTAACAGAGATATTGTTGCCTACAAACATGTTGATCGTTGTTGAATACGCAAGATTTGGCATCCATCACTGATTACCTTGGTATTGGTTCGAAACGTTCCATGATGGCCGCCAATCCCATAATGGATCCTCCTCCATCATCGCGACCATCTATCTCAGACTCTCATCTACCGGCGTATGGACCGGTGCCGTTGTTCGACGTGCACCTTCGCTTTCTGACCGATTCATATCTGAGCTTTTTTTATGAACGGCATGTATTCGTGGTCCATCATCTTGTGCACCTCTCAAAATGAATGTTTTTTCTACTAGGAAACGAATTGAAGAAATCTAGTGAGCAAAACAGGCGTTGCTGTTCACTATTCCTCATTCCAATTGTAGTGTCGAATCACTGTTGAAGTTGCATCGGAAAATTCTCAGCATTGATACGTTTCTCGACGATCGCACCGACCTGAGTTCCACCCGTAGCGCCTGGAATGAAGTGCGAGACAACGTCGAGCGTGGTGCGTATCCCACAACTACATTGTCATTCTGCCAACGTTTATTTGCAGAGGCTCAAACTAGACAGGCATTCCTGGCGACGTTAACCGTCGATGTCATCAATCCTTTGACAACCGTCAAGGTACGCA